CAATTGAATCTACCAAAATCATGCTTTTGCAAAAGAACAGTCTAAGATCAAGCGTCCTACTTTCCTTCTTTTATTCGCTTGTTCAACATCAAAGCATAAGTAAGCTGCGCAAGTTCATATCAAGCCCAGTTTCATCCAGGACAGACTTTCTGAAATTTTAACTCAGTTGAGTCAGTTCCATTCTCGTAGAAGATTAACACAGTGCAAAACTACGTGAATAAGAGATATGACAAAGATAATAAGTGTTTAAGAGCGGAAATCCCCGTCTTTACCCCGTGTTCCCTTCCCTGTTTAATTTATATTTTAATGTGATGTGTTTCCTGTATTAAGTTATTAACATTATTTAATCGGATGAAAAACATCAAATCACAACAGTAGGTTAATGAGAGGAAAACAATCTATTTAAAAGGGAAAAAAAGTAGCGAATCGAGATTAAATAATGAAAAAAAATTACAGGAGATAAAATAGATAGTAAAATTTGTACGAAATCCCAATAGCAAAACCTACTGCCGTTAATTAATGTTTTTCATAAAATTAAATAATTTTAATAAACTTAATGCAAGAAGCATGTGGTATTAAAAGATAAATAGAACAAAATTTTTTAAAAAAATACAGAATAAAGGCAAAGGATTTCCGTTCGCTATTTAAACCCTCCAACACTTTCAAAGGTTTATCCCTTTTATTTGTTAAGGATTATACTTAATTGCCGTTGTCTCTTCCCATTTATCTCTTCATGAGCTCGTGAATCCACTAGGTGAGTGAGTTAATTCAATACTCGATTGGATATTTAAAATTTTAAAATTCACAATTGAATATTCTAATTTTCTTTTTAGTTATTAATTTGCTCATAAAAATGCACAATTAAACACTTGATGGGTCCAAAAACAACAAATAAGAACACATCATACGTTTTAAAAAATATATATTATTTTTATATCAAATATAAAAAGATGATTAGAAAAAAATAAGTCTAACAGTAAAATATAGAAGCAAAAGCAATAAGTAAGATTGAAATAAAATAAAAAAAATTGGAACAAGGCAAGTAACAGTCAAAAACTGTGGTCTTTAATTATCCATTGGGTCAAGCCAGCGCACTGATGATCCATGGATGACACCCCAACCACATTTGGACATCAAAGGTCTATCACGAGTGGAGCCTACATGGTTCGAAAAGCAAAGCCCACGCATCGATGGTCCAATCATTACCCTAGCCCAAGTTCATATTTCTTTTATTTTAATAAATAGATAAATATAGTTTATTATATAGATGATAAATATGTGTGTTATTAATAAGGTATAGCTTATTATCTTTGAAGAGTTGATCGTATACACTATCAATTCATAAAATGCTGATACCTTATTAACGAGATAGAAATTAAAATACACAAGGATTTAATAATAAATATCTTAACTTTTACATGTTAATTAAAAATATATATTTTAATTTTTTCTTCAAATTCAGTTTAAATGTTTATATTTTGGATTGCTTTCTGCTCTGTTCTCTACATCATAAAGACAACATCTTGAACTAGAGAATAGATTAAAGAAGCAATGTGAAATATAAATCTTAATACTGAATTTGGAGAAAAACCTGAAATATTTTATTTTTGTAATTAATCGGTAAAAGCATTTTAATGTTTATTATTAAGCCTTTGTAAATTTTGATTTTTGCCTCGTTAATGAGATGACAGTATCTATTAGCTGTCAATGCATCAAATATTAATCTTATAAATAAACAAAATATAAATATAATAAATAATAAATAATTATATAAATAAATACATAAATAAGTGATATAACCAGGAAATATATAATCAGTTTATTTAATAAATAGATGAATACATAAATAGAAAAACACATACATTTAGTTATGTAAAATAACAAATATACAAGTAATTAATAAAATGAATATTACTTTGTTATTTTCCAATATGTTATATTATTAGTTTTTAAAAATAATAATTATGTTTTAAATATTATTAACTTTGTAAATGTCAAATATAATATAAATTTACATAATATATCAACTTTACTTTAATGTGATTATTTTTTTTTCTCCTCACATCTTACTTCACAGCAACCAACTGTTCCTAATATTATCTGACCCTTAATTTCAACCTCTTATTGTAACTCTCGATCTTACCCTTCCAGTTACCAGTCCCAACCATCAACGCACCGCTGTTTTCATTCTTAGGGAAACTAATCTCACTAACTGGCCAACACTGTTCAGTGTTCACCGTTACATTTTTTAGCTAAAACTTGTCAGGAAATAAGAGCAAGGAAATCAAACGCATAGATCAAAGTCACGTAGCCCTAAAAGGATCCTTGGCATGTACCCTAAACCTCAAAGTTTGACGATTCACGAGGAAATATTAAAATTTATAGCAGAAGCTAAAATTATGCATATAAGGGAAAAAAAAATCGTGTCAATCATAGAGAGAGTAGAAACCCATTTACCAACAGGCCTCGAAATGCAGTCTGGATTCGAATTGCGGCCCATTCTCGCTTCACAGCTCGGAAATCTTTGGGCTGAACACGAACAATGGTAGCTAGAGCTGCGGCGAGCACATCATCATCCAGCATGAAAGAAGAATCGGAAGCCTCTGAAGAAGCCACGGGGCGCATCTTGAGACCCTTGGATAAGGAGGATCCGAACCCTTCCGATGAGCTTCTCCATAGCCTCCATTTCTTCTTGGCTTTATCTCCCACTTTCTCCTACAAAACCAATAAAAGAAAATGAAACCCAGGAAGCAATAAGAAGAAAGCGAGAAAAATGGTATTCCTAGTTTTGGTCTTGGCCAAATTACTTGGTTACTGGGAGCCGGAAGCGTTTTGAGAGTTATAAGTGATTTGAACCATTTTCCTGAAGCACCCATTTTAGGAATTGGTAGAAATGTAGTATTTAGAAACCTTCAATTTGCTGGAATCAGTTTAAGAGGAGGAGGCGGAGATAGAGAGGGGAACTTGATTTTTGGTTAAGAAGTGAGTTTGGCCTTCTGAGGAAGGGCTGAACATTTTATCGGGAGGGACAAGTTTTGAATTTTTGAAATTCGAAAAAAGGAAGTAGTAATAAATAGTCATAACGGATACATTGACTTTAGGGTTTTGGATATGGTCTGAAGCGCTCCTCCTCATTGTTACAAGGTTGTCCACCTTTATATTCACACATATCTACAACTTGAAAATTCGAAAAAATAAAAATAAAAAAAGATGTAAAATCATTCTTTTCTTAGGAGAGCATCATATTTGCTGGCCGATTTCTATCCTTAGGATTTCACATTACGGAAGGGAGAGTTAACAAAACAAAATTGAGAAATGTTTAATATATATATATATATATATATATATAGAAAGAAAGAAAGAAACAAAATTGCATTGGCCTTTGAATTCCCGTTTTCTTTTTGGGTGAATTAGGATCCCTTGGGTTGCAATTTTGGCAAAGCAACCTTGTAACCTTTTTAAAAGCAACGAAATCTTTTCTTTTTCGACAATTAAATATTATTTCTAATACCAAATCAAAATGAGCCATAATTTCCCAATATTGCTTTATCTTCATTTAAATAAAGAAGAAGAAGAAGAAAGCTCAAAATGTTGCTTGTCGGGGTGTGATGAACCCGTCGCTTTTGAGGCCAGCTTTTCTCCTACTAACTGTATTGTGACCCCAAAGAAATTCAAAAATGTTGTGCTCAACACGTGGGGTATCAGATGTCATTACCTTCCCTCCATCATCTGGTATTTGTTAGGCCAGATTGCCCTAAACAAAAGGAGACTAAATAAAGCAATCGGCATGCTTGCATTCAGATTCGCGGCAACCAAAAATCATTCATGAGTGTGAAACAAAGGCAGCAGCCAATCAAATAATAGTAGAATGAAACTGCTTCAATACATGTCGTTTTCTACTTGGAAACGTATTAAGACTACGAAACAAGGGATTCGGCACAATGTATTCGACAAAGAAATTGCGTCAGTAGGGACAAACTAAAAGGAAATTCTATCTCAACAAAGTTTCTTAGTTCAAACGCCGTGGAAACAACACATGGGAAAGAGGAAAGGGAACTACTTATTTTGTTCTGTTTGTGTGTGCAAATCACGATTAAGACGTAGATAAACATATAATAAATGAACAGTGCAATTACGATTTTACTCTTTCCTTCTTTATTTCCTTTTGCAAGTTTTATCAGTTACCTTGATTAACGTATATTTTTTATTTTTTTCAAATTGATTCATGAGATTAATTAAAGTCAAATTTATCACTGTAGCATTTTGCGATTGAATATTGTATTTTTCCTTCCATTTCAATCTTATTCAATTTTATCACCGTATTTTCAATTTTATTAATTTTTAAAATAAAAAAAATATTTGAACATTTGTGCAAATGAGTTTGTTGACGCAACTGCATATTTTTGTTCATTTCTGTTATTTATTTGTTTTAAAATCAACAAAGAAATTATAATGGTAAAATTACTGAAATTGAAGTATAATGATAAAATTTAACATTGAATCACAATATAAAAATAAATTTGACCTTAATCTTTTAATCAGTAAGGTTGTTTTCAACTGCTAAAATAAATTTAGAGTACTTGACTAAAGACTGTGTGAATCGACCAGGATAATTACGCCACCTGCCTACAACTCTAATCCCTCAATAATTACAAGAGTATAACTGCAAAATTGAACTCTAAAAAACTTGAAGATAATGTGAATATCTTTATTGCGGATGACATGCCAGTTAAAGTTTGAAACATAACCTTCAGATTAGAATAGACATGGAAGAAGTTTCCCTCTATGTATCACAGGAACTAACGATATAATAAATTGGAACGAATTGTTTTTTTTTTCTGTTCAAATATTTGATGCAGGCATGTAGTCAAATTTTAATCTACCTTCCAAGTATTGGTTTACGCAAGAAGGGGAGAGATTTTCTAAACTTATTTGCATTAAATTCTGAAATGTGAGTACAATTAACAAGCTTTGGATAAACCAACTCTAGCTCCGCAAAACAATTTCTCAAGAAGCTGAGTAAAAGATAAAAAAAAAAAAAAGAGTTCCTCAAGACAAATTAATCTAAAAAATAAAATGACCAGCGCAATGCACGGCCGAGGTAAAAAAAAAAAAGTAAAATTTATATGTAAGAACAATAAATTTTGAGTTATTCGTGTAAGACGCAAAAAGGTCCTATGGACCTTAAAAAGGGCAGGTGGTATCCTTTGGTGAGTTGGTGAATTGCGCTTAATTAGCAGTAGGAACCCGGACCCTTGGGCTGACGAGTCCAATACAGGTAAGCCTAGGAGATAAGTGAAGTTTTGGACTTGGTCTGGGAGACAGAATTGGGGCAGAAGGCGCCGAAGGATGCCCTGAGTTGACCCTAGGTGATAAATTAACCTGTTCCAGTGCCTTGAATTGTAGCTGTGCTGGGTAGTCTCTGACACAACCGATGCGAGGACCTACTCCTGTACACCATTTGGATTTCACAGGCTTCCCAAAGTCATACGCTGCAGCTTTGTCAACTAACCTACTTCTGTCATTGTTTCCTTCATTCTCATCTTTGCCAATCATATGGTCTTTGGTGCACCCATTTGCATGAATTGGCTCCGCCGCATTGGTGCATGGCATGTTTTCAGTCGTTTCTTTTGCGGACTCTGGTATCAGTTCCTTGTGAATTTTAACTTGACTGGGGATCACATCATCATCTATGGCATATTTCTGCAGAGGAAAATAAAAAATAAATAAATAAATAAATTTCAACAATCTAGTAAGCTCAACAAAATTGTCTGGAAATGGTGCCGCAGGTCAACGAAAGGAAGCTGAAGAGCAAGCAAGTTACCTTGACATCTGTCAAGTCAACATGATGTTCCCCCAAGAAACGGCATAATTCCGCGAAATTTGCTTCGGTCGGGCAATAATGACCACTGTAAGGCCAGACAGCCTGAAGGAGGGGAAAGGAAAAAATCAACGTTTAAAAATCTTATGTTCAAAAATTGATATCGTGCACGCGTGCGCGTATTATTTACGCGTTCATGAGACGAAGCAATTCACATACATCAAGAGTTCCATCACGAACAACCAATCTGCCAGAGGCAATGGTGGCTCCCCCAGCTAGGAAACTCGAGTGTTGAAACAGACCCTTCTCCTTCTGCCCAACATATAGGATTCTTGATGTACTAAGAACAAATATCCACTTGGTTCCCTCTATGGTGTTAACTGCCACTTTGCTTTGTTTGTAAATCAGCTTCCCTTTCTCCAGAACTACTTCGTATGCTTCCCTTTCCTTCTGCAAAAGCAAGCAATGAATCTGAGCATTAAATACACATTCCCTGAAAAACCTAAACCAAAATATACAAGCCTTATTCTGCAAACAAAAACAATTTCTTTTCTAACTTAAGACTTATTATGCAAATCAGGGTCACTGTCCTGAAGTAACGAAGGAGAAAAGTCCCTTGTTGCCTTGGATGAAAGGAAACAGCTGCGCATGGCATGGCATGGCATGGCATGCCATCCCTTTCAATTAAAATAGACTACTACCACTTTATGCAAGTGCCAATGGTAGGTTACTAGGCATGAAATTGCCCCTTCGGCCTTACCGGTCCAAGATATTTGATGCATTGACGCTGTAGATTAGTCCTTGGGCATTTGTCAACATTAACTTCTTTGCCATCTCCAACATCCAACCTTCATTTTGATGAAATGAAAATTTTAACTAACTCAAGAACTATTTGGCAAACTTAAAAAATTTTCAAATTCTAGATGAAATCTTTGGAAAAATTATTTTGTGATTTTTTCTATTTACCAGTAGAAAAAGGGTTGGGAGCTCCCACTCTCAAACCAGATATTGTAATACAAATGTAGGTTGTGACCGTAACGATGACGTGGATCAATCTGTGCAACAAAATCAAATAATTAGTTAAAGATAGTAAAATTTCTTTTAATTATATATTAAGTCACGAAGCATTTAAATGCAAGTCCCATGATAACTTATTCTAACATGAAAATAAAGGTTTCATAATTTCATGCCAAAAATAGTTAAGGGAATGAGGGGACGTGTCTCCTTAACAAAAACCTCAGTTTAAAATAAATTTGGAAGTATATGTTTCTTCCACTCATTTTTTGCAGAATAAATTGATACATTAAATACAAGCAGAACGCATGCTAATACATCGTTTAATCAAGTACATCATCATTCATCAAAACTTAATCAAACCCCATGATCAAGTCGTGAATAATATTGGAAGCATTAATAGAGATAAATTCTAAGTAGAAGTGAGAATACTCCAGCGCTAACTTACAGCTTCGAGCCAGTGTCGCAAAGCCAACTGCTGACCTTTCACGTCCTTTGACAAGCCTTTCCCAACCTATACAATTTGTTCACAAACAACGAATTTGAAAATGAATATCGGTTCGCGGCAAGAAGATTATTGGTATACGTTATACGGGTCATCATTAATAGGGTCCTGGACCTGGTCAATGAAGGGATTTGCTCGACATTTTTCTTAATTCACAGCAATTTCCATCTTTAAGAGACAGAGTTAGATTCGGTCTAAGAGTTGAAACACGTGACAGCAAATATTAAGACTTTGTCTGATTATCTTCAGAAACCCTTGTCCATTCAAATAACAAACTAACGACATTAATAAAACAAGAAAAAAATACAGCATACCTTGGCCGCTCTTGTCCGAGCTCGTGCCCAACGGGAAACAGCCGTTTCTGATTTTCTAGAATTAAAGAACGATACAGAGCTTCTTCTCAGAGCCGCAAATTCTAATGCCTTCCTCCTGAAGAAGAAGAAGAAGAGTAAGAATTATGACCCAAATTACGGTAGCATTAATCTATTAATTGTATTGGAAGAGAGAAATGATCGTAAATTAGAGAACAAACCATAGCTCCTCGACAACAACAGCACAATCTGCAAGGTTTCTTCGAGTCCGGTAACTCTTGTAGAATTTTTGCAGCTTAGTAGCAGCTGCATGAAGCTCGCTAGCAGGCCTGGAAGACAGGAATTTTTCCTGCTCTGGTGAGGAAAATGTGATAGAATCTGCTTTGTTAAGCAATTCATCATTTCCACCTAAATCAGAAATCTTTCCATTCATGATATCCAGTGCTGAAGTAGTCATTTGGAGCTCTAGCTTCCCGGTGGGTTTCTTTTTCTTGAAGCTCATAGACTCTCCAACAGGGACATTATCTTTCTCATGATCTGATTCATCCGCCCTGTTCTCCGAATCCCTTTTCTTGAAGCTGCTTGTTCTCAATGTAGCCTTCCCCATCCTCTCAAAGTCGACGGATGTCATCATAACCATCTCTGCGTCTTCTCTATAAAACGAATTGACCGTATCATGAGATTGCAAGTCATAACAATCAAGGATGAATTGAAAGCTCTATAACAAATGCCTCAAAGAAGGAAGAAGATTAATCAATCGTACCTGAATGAAAGTAGGAAACCGGAATCTACACTCTCACTATAAAATAATAATCCCACAAAGTTTTATTAATGTTAAAATGTTGAGTCCAGTGTTTCATAACATGACTGAGACCTCTTTTATATATCCTGCAAACATGCACGGTTAAGAAGACCGGAAAATAACATGCATGTTACCTTCAAATACGTAAAGATGATGGAAAATGAGAGCCGCTTTTGAAATCTTGTACCCATCAAACTCTGGTGGTTTGAATAGAAAATATATAACACGAGTTGTTTGAAGATGAAGACTTCAAACTTCAAATAAAGTTTCCAAATGTTTCCATCTTTGTACTTGCTTTGGAATTGGAAATGAAAAGGAGACTGACTGTAGTGAACTTGTGAACCGTCTAATTCATGTTCTAAATTAAGATGTTTTCCCATTTTTTTCTTGCATACATGTATGTGAAACAAAGAGGATAGTCAAAGAAGCACCTCTGTTCCAATGTAGAAAGGGTTTGCAGTCTTTTCACTCGTCCAAAAAGACAAGGCTCGCTAGCTTCTTCTGATTATGCTTTGAGGTGACCATCTTTTAACTGTGGGCCCATTTCATTCTTTTTATTTGTTAAATTAGCCTCAAATGCATAATTAAAATAATATATATATATGGATGTATTTATATGCATTTTCATATATTAGAGTTCATTTTTTTTAACAAGATTGTTTATCAAATGAAATAATTTAACCCATAACTAATGATTTAAATGTGGCAATTAAATACATTTGTAAGTTTATTATTATATTCTTTGTTACATATATATTATAAATAGCCATTTAATATTTACAAAAAATAAAGAATAGAAAACCAGAAAAAAACTACCAACCAACGACCACAATTTCACACGTCAAACACTTCAACGAAGAATTCCTAGGATATGTCATGGTCAATATAAATTTAGTCATTATTCATGCACGCGGGACATGCCCTAAAAGAGAAAAAATGCATATCATGACTAGGGTTAGATTTTCTCTGTCTTTAAATTCCTACGTATTACTATTAATCGATTAGTCTTTTAAGTTAATATAATATAATATATTCTGCATGCAAAGAGGGAAGAAATTAGACATGTCATTTTCCTTCTGAACATGACTTCACTGAATGAAATCGATGGTAGCAGCAAATAGAAGATGAATATAGGGTGGGGTGTGATTCACAAAAAGTTTGTGTTTTCACAAGAGCTTGAAACATCTCTAGCAAAATTAGCTAGAACTTGAACCAATTGCTTAACTGTTTCAAGTTTTTCTTTCCCAAATTCATCTAAATAATCTTTTTATGTCCCGCTCTTCCCTTCTAGCTAATTTTAGCATTTCACATTTTAATATTATATGAGTCTACCAATGTAAGGTACTCCTGCATTTGACAGAAACTATATATTCTAAGATAAATTTAATTTTAAAGTAGTAAAGAGTGATCAAATATATATTTAAATATTTAATTTATTGATTTATTTATGATTTTTACGAAAAAAATAAAATTTTAAATTTTTTTAATTATTAAAAAAAAAGAGAGTGGCTAAAAATATTTCCTTGAATGCTAGCAAAGCCATATCCGTCAGTTCTGCGATAAATTCTTTGAGTGAAATAACGAAGAAACATCGGGACGGCTTGAAGCAGAAGGCAGTGTTATTCCACGCGCTTTTGTAGACACGATCGAAGAGAAATGGACCCTTACCAAATTAATCCCTTTGACTTCTTCAGCCCGATTTGTGGGCCATCACCTTTATTCTTCATACTTTTCCGAGAATCAAAGAAAACCAGGAGAGTCATGTGATGCGAGGGATCTCCGACCAAGAAAACACTGCCCTGAACAGATGAAGTTTAAGCTGTGGGTCAAAATGCTTGTGGGTTTCCATTTTGAGGAGCTCTTAGCTCCTATTTAATCATGTCTTTACATCCTTCGTATTCATAATGGTTATGGTTGAATAATGGGTCCATTTGTTTTTTTCAGAAAAGCATTCATTTTCATTAACAAGGAGATATGTGCGTTGTAAACTTTCATAGTTATAATTGTTAAGATAATATTAGCCTTTATCTATTATTATAATCTAATTTCTCTATTCCTATCATCTTAACTTTATCTAAGTTTTATCAATTAGTTTTATATCGCTATATATATATACACTCTTGTCTATCAATAAAACTCTACACTTCCAAATCTCTACATGGTACCATAACTTTATCACCATGAGTATTATTCTTCAAACCTTTGCTTCTCCTTTCTCTACTCCTACAACTGCTCATCACACCTTTTCTATCAAACTCACTGCCAAAAACTACTTGGAAAACACAATTTTTGCTTCTCTTAAATTATCAAAATCTTAATGGCCTTATCGATGGAACCTCTCATGAACCAATGAAGATTATTCATCTCCCACCACACCCCAAGAACAAATTTCCAATCCCAAATATCAAAATGTCATTGGCAATAGATAGGTATTTCGAATTAAAAGGAAATCAGATGGCACTATTGATCGATGTAAAGCACGTCTTGTTTCCAAGGGTTATTCGCAACAAGATGGAGTGGATTTCGCTAAAACTTTTAGTCCTGTTATCAAAAGCACAACTATTCGAACTGTGCTAGAATTGGTTGTTTCTTGTGGTTGGTCTCTTAGGCAATTGGATATATCTAACTCATTTCTACATTGTCATCTTGATCATGAAATCTTTATGGAGCAACCGACTAGCCATATTGACAGTGAGCATCTTGATTATGCTTGTAAACTGCAAAAGTCATTGTATGGCTTAAAGAAAACCCCATAAGCTTGGTTTCATTGGCTTTACAATTATCTCATTCAACATGGTTTTGTTCCATGTAAGGCTAACAGCTCTTGGTTCATTAAGCTACACTGCCATTCTAAGCTATTTGTTCTTGTTTATGTTGATAGTGTCCTTGTCATAAGTACTCATCTGGATATGATTCATTCTTTTGCAAAGACTTACATCAAGGCTTCCCTGTTCGTGACATGGGCTTTCCACATTATTTTCTTGGTGTTGAAATTACTTATTTACTAGATGGTATGCTTTTGTCTCAACAAAAATATGTTCTAGACTTGTTTTCCTGAACCAATATGGTAACAAGCAAATCTTGTTATAAGCCTATGGTTGCTAGTCCTCTTTTGTCAAAAACCTTGGGTGATCCTTTTGAAAATGCTAAATTATATAGAAAAATTGTTGAGGCCCTTCAATACATTACTCTCACTAAGCCAGATGTTGCTTTCTCTGTCAACAAGCTTTATCAATTCATGCATTGTCCTACTATTGCTCATTGGAAAGTTGCAAAATGCTTATTACGCTATCTCAAGCATACTATTGATTATGGGTTGTTCTTTGCTAAGAACTCTTCTCCTTTGCTCCAATGCTTTACTGATAGTGACAGGGGAGGGTGTTTTGATGATCGATGTTCAACTAATGGTTATGCAATTTATTTGGGAGTCAATTTGATTTCTTAGACTGCCAAGAAACAATCGACAATGGCTCGTTCATCGACAGAGAGTGCAGATAAAGCCATGGCCAATGCCGTTGCTAAGTTAGCTTGGCTTCATTCCTTGTTAAGTGAATTGGGTTTTCATTCCTCTTCACCTTCTATCATATGGTGTGATAACATTGGCGCTATTTATCTTACTACTAATATTGTTTTCCATTCTCATACAAAACATGTTGAATTAGATTATCATTGTGTGAGGGAATTGGTAGCTCAAGGTAAGATGGCTATTCGATTTATTTCCAATGTTGATCAAATAGCCGATATTCTTACTAAACCATTGGACAAATCTTTGTTTGAAAAGCATCATGCTAAGCTTTGACTAATGTCAAGCCCATCATTAGCTTGAGGGAGGCTGTTAAGGACAATATTAGACCTTATCTATTAGTGTAATCTAATTTCTCTTCTTATCATCTTAGCTTTATCTAGATACTTAGTTTTATCATTTAGTTTTATATCGTTGTATATATGTATAGTTGTATCCTTGTCCATCAATAAAACTCAGCACTTCCAAATCTCTACAATAATAATGGTTAATGTCGAATTTTCAATTGATTTTTTTTGCTGAAAAAAGTAACAAGGAAACATATGTCTATATTGTATAGTTTAACACGCTCATGATTTGAAGTTGGCAAAACTTGCCATTGCTAGTTACAAGATAGAGAGATGCACCCTAGATGCTAACAAGAGCAAAAAAAAAAAAATCACTATCCACACCAAATCTCACCACAATTTATGTTTAGCCTCATTTACAACTGTGAAATATTTGAGAAACCTCATCTCAAAATACATCAACAAAAAATTTCTCCATTAGCAAAAACAGAAGATTAAGAGAAGTTGTTATAAAACAGGTAGCACAATAACCTTGTAGTTAAGGGCAAAGTCAAGGGGGTGGCATGTGGTGGCAGCCACCACACCTCAATTTTTAATTTCTTTTATTATTATAGATATAAAATTATATATATAATTATATATATTTATTATTTTTATAATTGCCTTTTAGTCGCTCTTTATACAAAATCTTGAATTCACCACTGTTTATAATCAACAAAAAACATTCTCACCAGTGAAAGATGACTTTTTCACCTTTTTCTCAAAACCAAATCATTTAATAAGACCTCTTGATCAACTCATAGTGTCGTGGTCCACACCAACCCTTATGAGGTATTGTCCACTTTGGCCTTACTAACCTCACTGTTTTATCCCACAAAAAGAGCCCTATAGGTTGAAAATGATGTGAACCCTTATGTTGTCAGTATCATTATAGTACATAGCTAATGTGGGATTCATGGCTTCCCTTTCTATGACCAAAACATCTTCCCTTACTCCTTGTTAGGAGATTCTCTTCAATGTGGGACTTTGTTCCTTTACTCTCCGTTAAAAGTTTCTCTTCAATGCGGGACTTTGTGGTTCTACCCCTTGAGAGCATTATCTCCACAATATGGGATTCATGTCCATGCAAAGATTGTGACATCTTCCTCCATTTTAACAAGGACCTATTGTCCTCAGTAGCACATTGTTAATACCTAGAGTCCTCTATAATATCAATTGTCACAATCCACACTAACCCCTGTGAGGTACTGTCTACTTTGGCCAAGAGCTGCAAACAAC